GGGGGCGATGACCTGGGTGGAGCGGGCCTTCATCTTCGCCCCGGCCCACCCGTCTCCCTCGACCTGAACACGCCGGGGTACGAGTGGCAGGGGCATCTGGCGCGATTTCTCTTCGCAGCTCCCCCCGACAGCCGGACCATCCTATGGGTGTGCGGCTGGCACGGACGCTCCGGCAAGTCAGAGCTCGTGAAATGGCTCCTCGCCAATCTGCCCTCGCCCGGAGCCGTCGAATTCCTTTTCGACAACCGCGACCCCCGCTCCGTCGCCGCCCTTGCGCCCCGAAAGATGCAGGTCGCCATCTTCGACATCAGCAGACTCGGCATATTCAGGGCAGGCATAGCGGTAGAGCAGCTGGTGGACGGCAAGCTTATTAACGAGAAGTACCACGTCCACAACAAGCGGTTCTCGGGGTCGACCCAAACGGTATACCTTTTCCTTGCCCGGGACTGGCCAGCGGCGAGCGGAGGAAAGGAGGGCGAGAGGAGACGCATGCGGAGATACATGTATATATATATATGTTAGTGTATATAGAAACATGGGTGAGCCTGTGCTCAATCGGCGATGTGCGATACCCTTGGAGAGCGCCCCATCCCCTGACCCCCAAAGATACTCCCATGGCGAGGCCGGGGGAACTTGGAGGGGGACGGGAGAAGAGTGGAGGGGAGTAAAAGGAAGAAAGGTATACCTCTTGAATTGCCCCCATCGCCCAGGTTCGCGGCGCCCCACGTCGTCGTCTTCTCGAACTTTGCGCCTCCGATCGATGGGAACGCATCCACCGGCGACAGGGTGCGGGCGATCCATCTCGACGCCTTCCCCGCCGACTACTCCTTTGACTTTCTCTTCCCCGCCCACCGCTTTCCCAACGCCGCCGACGCGTTTGTCAACGGGGACCCCGTTGCGGGCATGGGGGGCGCCCCCGCCAGCAGCGCGGTCACGGGGTCCACCCCCGCCTCCCGAGCCGTGATGCGCGCTCCACCGCCTTTGGCCACCGGCAGCGTCGTGCCTGGCCCCGCGGCCCCACGGCCGCCTGCAGTTTCATCGGCCCCCGCGCCCGTGGCGGGCGGCGCCGCGCCGCCCGTGCGCACGCGACCCGCGTCCGGCCGCGCGCCCGCGCCCGCCGCTGCCCCAGTGGCGCCCGCCGGCCCCCGCCCAGCGCGCCAGGGGGTCGGCCGCCCACCCCTCTCCGACGCGGTCAAGAGCGAGCGGGCCCGGATCGAGGAGGAGAGCCGCCGTGGCGTTGGCCGGCCGCCCGCGGCCCCGCTGGCCCTCCCAGGGCAGCGCACGCCAGCGGAGGTCGTAGCTCTGTCATCGGCGGAGCGGGCGCGGAGCCGCACTCCGCGGCCCGCCGCGCCCGCCGACGCCGACGCCGGCCCGCGCCCCCCGGCCGCGGCGCCCGCGCCCGCCACGGGCGCCGACGGTGCAGCAGCCCTGCAAGACGCCGACGAGGCCAAGGCGCTGGCCTGGGCACTGGAGGCCTCTTCCGCGGCCGGCGGCGGTGCCCTCTCCGGCGGATGGCTCCCGAGGCCGCCCCCGCGCCGCCCCGCTGGCCCGGGTGGCGCGCGCGCCGCTTCGAGCTCGAGGACGGCTTCGAAGGCGTTCCCATGCACGGCCGAGCTGCGGGCGCCGGAGCCCCCCACCGCTCGCAAGGCGGCCAGCAGTGCGGGGTGCAACCCCGTAGCGGCCGCTCACTGGGAGGAGGCACTAGGCCACGTCGAAATGACCCCCAGCTCGCCGGAGGCACCTGGCCCGGCTGCCCCAGCGGTGGCGACGCCAGCGGGGATCGCGTCGGCTCCCGCGGCCGCGGCCCCCGCCGCCGCGACGCCAGCTCTCGCCGCGCCGACGCCGTCGCCCCTGCCTCCGGCTGCATTCTCCGCCAGCGATGCCAGGATGGACTTTCTCGAAGAACTCCACTGGGCCCACGAGTTCATCCAGAGCCGATATGAGGCGGAGTTCGCGGCCTACAGGGCGGAGCTGGGTGAGAGCATATCGAAGTGCCTCACGGAGGACGAGATTCGCCTGAACTGGCTCGCGGACCATGCGCGCCGCATCGCACGCCAGACGGACCCGGCGCGAGAGGGGGGCCCCACAGCCCCGCCAGCGGCGGCCCCTGACGGAGCGCCTCAGCCCATGGCCGCTGTCGCCACGCCGCCCCACAGACGACATGCCGCACCCGCCCCAGCGCTTCCCGCCGCTCCGCCGGGTCCGCGAAACGCCGTAACTTGGGGCGTTCTGCCGCTGGCTGCCGAGGTCGTCGTC